TTGTGACATTGCGTAATATGTGCAGCTCATTTCAGGAAAACATTATTTGATATATATATATATATATAAGGACTTTACACCGAAAGACCCAAAATTCAATATTCGTTGTAAGTCACGTGCAGGTGATGTTTTGTTTTGTTTTTTTTTCAAGGAAAGATGAGACAAGTCCAACATGAAATCTATTCCTTCTACGTCCAAGATGACTGGCCCAGTAGCCATTGATCAACGTTACACGTCAAAACACGGAACTCCTCTGATGTTTACATTACATTGATTTGTTCAAATGAAAAAGGCAAAACCCAACCACTCCTTTTATCGATGTTCTCGGATTTTATTATATTCTTTCTTCATTAATAACGTCCATCTGTGCAGTGCGTAAGTGACATTATTTCGAAAAAACGTGAAAGTGCATTTTTTAAAGTTCATCCTGAATAGCTGTCCAGTGTAGAACGAATAAAATAACTTTATACCAAAGGAAAAACGCTGAAAAAAAAACAAATGGAGGAGGAGGAGAGGGGGTGGGGGTACGGGGGGTGGGGGGTGGGGGTGGGGGGTGGGAGGGGGTGGGGGGTGGGAGGGGGTGGGGGGAGGGTTCACATTTGAAAATTAAAAAAAAATGCACTCTCATGTTTATGAATATCTTTATGAAAACTTTCTAATATTTTTTTCATATTCTTCGTAGGAATATTAGTGAACCAAAATGTCGTTTCTTTGTGTATTTGAATGACTTGGTACTTTAGTTTTGGATAGTCTAGTTCATATGTAGACATATCTTATCTCAGGGTATGATTCTAAAGGTTATATACACATAATTCGCCCGTAAATTTTACTTTTTCAATCAAAAAAGTTAAAGAAAATCATTTTATTGTGAAACACAGAAATGAACGAAATGTAAATTAAAGTGCAATGTCGTTTTATTTTTTAAATTTCGTTTTCATCTTCGAAATTCCTTACCACGAAATCTATCAGGCACATAATAGAAGTTTGTTGTCTGGGTTTATTGTCCTCTCAACAGCTAGGACCATTTGAGGCTGATCTCCTTGTGGTAGCTGGTGGTTATCTCATTGAACAACATACGGGAGGTCCGTAGCACGCCGTCGGGACGACTGGGGTAAAGAGTTTTACCCAAGGACACAACCGTGTCATCACGGACCGGTCAGTTTCTCCGAGTTACGCTCTAGTATACGAAGGGAAGTAACTCGTACGAAATGAAAAAAACATAAAAAAAAACAATTCTCTTGTGGGTCTTTTTTTATCCCCTCCTCATTCTTTACTAAGTTAAATTATCAATTGTTTGTAATGAAAAAAAAATGATTGTTTACTTTGAGAAATTAAACAAAACTTTTCCCGATCAAATAGGTCTTGTTTCAAGCTTAGGAGACATACACGGATCTGATCATGTGCGATAGACAATATTTACATATCGTGTAAACATCCGTGTACGAAAGCTATATTTTCGGACTTGATATTTCGTGAAGTTAGATCATATGAATTATTCATGTTCGGACGTTTCATTAACAAATTTCTTAAATCATTTGTTTTCTTAATACACGTTTACATTTCGAGTATCCTCCGAAGTGTGAAAAGATTTAACACCAATTCTACCAAAGATGCCGTAGATCTGTTGTTCAAGTAAACGAAAATATTTTTCATAGAAATCCAAACCTACATACTGGAAAATAAAATAAGAAAAAAAAAACCCAAAAAACAAAAACAACAACAAACACTAGAGAGTTGTCGATCGTATAACAAGGAAATGAGAACTCTCCTGGAATTAAAAGAAGATATCAAAAACAACATAATGATATTTTGAAGATTTCTTTACACATCGGAAAGTCACTCTAGATCTAATGATAGACCTGTTTAACACCGGGGCACTGCTGATACTAGAGATATGATGTTAATAAGTGCTGTCTTTCTACACTTCTCTTACACAATTCGTTAAGTGGTGGTAAATCAAAATCAAATCTATTTCCAAACATATCGTTTGATTGCCGACCCAGGCACGGGTCACTCGGCTAGCTGGTTAGCTGGTTGGTTGGGATGCGTTGGGATGAGTTAGGTTGTGTTGGGTTTGGTTAGTTAGTTGGGATGAGTTAGGTTGTGTTGGGTTTGGTTAGTTAGTTGGGATGAGTTAGGTTGTGTTGGGTTTGGTTAGTTAGATGGGATGAGTTAGGTTGTGTTGGGTTTGGTTAGTTAGTTGGGATGAGTTAGGTTGTGTTGGGTTTGGTTCGTTAGTTGGGATGAGTTAGGTTGTGTTGGGTTTGGTTAGTTAGATGGGATGAGTTAGGTTGTGTTGGGTTTGGTTAGTTAGTTGGGATGAGTTAGGTTGTGTTGGGTTTGGTTAGTTAGTTGGGATGAGTTAGGTTGTGTTGGGTTTGGTTAGTTAGTTGGGATGAGTTAGGTTGTGTTGGGTTTGGTTAGTTAGATGGGATGAGTTAGGTTGTGTTGGGTTTGGTTAGTTAGATGGGATGAGTTAGGTTGTGTTGGGTTTGGTTAGTTAGATGGGATGAGTTAGGTTGTGTTGGGTTTGGTTAGTTAGTTGGGATGAGTTAGGTTGTGTTGGGTTTGGTTAGTTAGTTGGGATGAGTTAGATTGGGTTGGTTGGGATGAGTTCGGTTGGGTTGGGTTAGGTTGAGTTGGTTGGTTTAGGTGCGTTGGGACGAGTTAGTTTATGTATCTATTCCTTCTCGATAACGTGTCGTTTTGATCACAGGGACTTGGCACGAATACTACAGTGACAAATAAACAGACCAAGAGGTTAAGAATTCGTTTCAAGTGCCTGTGATCGTAATTACGGAAACTTAAGTGGCACAATGACATATTTATTTTTGACAAACGAGGATGAGGCTCCTTAGGGTATTGATGCTGGGTGCATAGAATAGGTAAAACCCGAAAAAGCGCCAGCAGGTTTCTGTTTTTTTTTTTTTCAAACTAAAACCTATATTGTCAGTGAATTTGACGGAAGAACGGAAGAAATGGACGAATAAAGGATCAAACTGTTGGGACTCAGTACAAAAATTTAAAAAAATGAGAAAGGTTTTACAGATCAAAAAGATAAAATCAAAATCGGGTCTCCATAATGCAAGACAATGAAGTTAAACATGACGATAATTGCATGTGGTTACCTCCCTTTGACCGTGTCCCAATAACTGCTCCAACTCAATGATATGCCCTCCGTGGATTCTTAATGTAAATCCGTGGTCTGTCTATACGATTGTGGGGAAATATTTTCTTTACGAATTCGTAAGACATATAAAAAGAAATAGATGTAATAAAACAAGCCTCATATATTACTGTTGTAAACGTTTATTTACAATACCAGCGACATTTCCTCAATCCTGAATGACACCAGAAATTATGTTTGAAACAATAAATGAAAGCATAAAAAAAGAAGAAGTGAATCCTGCCAAAAGGTCAAACGAGGCGACTAATGTGGGGTCTTCATTAAAAGGCAGCATAATGTGAGTCCGAGGAGATGATAATGTGAGGGACGGTAGTGGAAGCGACTTATGAGGGGGATACACAAGGGGGCGAATAATGAGAGGGTTTGACGGGAATGTCAGTGTTCGAAATGGTAGGAAGCAACTTGTGAGAGGGACATGCCAGGGAGGGGGCGACTTATGTGAGGAGTTGAGGGTAATATCGATGTCCGAAACTGTAGGGAGAGACTTATGACGAGGAGACGCCTGGGGACGACTTATGGGAAGAGTTGTTCGAAATGTTAGGAAGCGATTTGTGAGAGGGACATGCCAGGAGGGGGGACTTATGGGAGTGTTTTAGGGAAATATCAATGTCCAAAACGGTAGGAAGCGACAAAGGAGGGGAATGGGGCACGCCGAGGGCGACTTATGTAATATTTTTTTACGGAATAACGTGTTGGTGTCCTAGTCCGTCGAAGTGATTTCGGATTAGCGTTCTACTCTGTTAGGGAGGTCTCGAATTATTGTCCCAGCCTGTCTGTGAGGTCTCGGATTAGCGTCCCTCTCTGTCCATGATGTCATAGATTAGTGTCCCAATCAGGTACCAGTGAGGCCTCAAAAATAGTTAGCGTCCCAGTCTGACCAGGAGGTCTTAATTTAGATTTCCAGTCTGTCACAGAAGCAAATCCATGTGTATTTAATTTCTTTTTTTCCTGTGTAAGTAATGTATGTGTCAAATGATTTTAACTGACGACTACTCGGGTTTCAAACTTGAATAATTATAGTAAAATGGAGCGATGTACATGTATTTTTAACGGAATCCGTTGAAATGTAGAACGTTTAAGTACATCTGTCCTCTCCTGACCTACTCCGACTCTGCGACATTTTTTTTTGCTTTATATGTATCTGGTGTGTTAAAACATTAATTTTTGCATTTACCATTTCAGAATGACATTGTTTGTTTTAATGATATCTTTATGTCAGTTCAAGCTCAGTTAATCAGTCTTTTCAATTCAATCATTTAGCATACAATGTTCTGAGGAATTATGGATTTTATATGTGCTGTCATTGTCCGCATTATTTATTTTCTTTTAGCCTGAAGTTACAATTTTCATTTCAAAATAAACATAAGGCGACGCTGTCCATGTGGTCGCTTTAAGGCGTTGTTGATTACCTATATTTTGATATGATCACATCGTACACCGTCTTTATAGTTGCCCCAGGTAATACACATATATTGTGAATTGACAGATGTAAGGTGTGATGTGATTACGATATTGAGTCATCGATTTTCATAATAGCGATGGTCAACAGACGACGCATTCCGAAAGACATAACTCTTGAAAACGCTTGCTTCTCACTGGGTGATATATCGGTAATTTAGGAAGCGTCTACGTTAATCAGAGCGCGTTTGATAAACCCGGTGGGCGGAAAGCTCTAGAGAACAACAGTTATCCAATATGGCGTCTATGAGAATTTTATGTCGAGACTGAACACATTCTAGGTGCACGCTCATTAACAAGATGACATAAGGTTGTAAAAATTGAAGACCCCGCATAAGAAAGGTTATGCCGCAAGATGTCGGCCACTGAATTGTACACAAAGGTAAGATTTACTGACGGAGAAGCAATAAAATGATCGTGGTCCGGTTGACAGTTTGGGTCAGCTGACATTTTGGCTGAGGGGGCCGATCACATTTCAATGTCAACAAACGCTGTACTCGGAAGCTAAACACGTGCACTGATACATTAACAGGTGCTCAATTAATTTGTGATGTTTTAACTGGGTTCGCGTTGATTTTAACGCATTTGGTACAATTTATGTTCAGTGTTCTGAAAACTAAATCCTGTATATCTATTGTGCATGTGGCTGGAATACGCAGTCTATGGCACGCTTGACTCGTGTCACCGGTGTGCTATTTTGGCACACCCCATGAGTGAGAGATAAATTGATATAATAGCAGGCAATTTGATATGTTTGAATCACATTATCACTTCAACTTACAGCTGTTTGCTTATTGAGGTGAGGTCTAAATTTAGTCTTTACAAAGATTAACGCAAAACTACAGAGTGTTCTGGCTTAATGTAAATTTGTTATCATTATTTATATAAAATGAGGAAAAAGGATTTATAATTTGTTCTTGTTAAATTATGTTGCAGGTAAAAAGCTATGAAACTTGATTGTAGTAAAATCTATAATCAATCAAATATAAATTGAACTATCAATTTATAACAGAATAAATTTTCATCATCTTTTAGATTGCAACACAAGTAGACAAATATTTCTATGTTTGGTAAACTCTTCGATTAAAGTCACCAGGAAAGACTTGTCCAAGTGGAGTAAATGTTGATGATAGGATCATTTAGCACTGGTGGTTTTTCTGTGTTAAGTTTAAAAGATTCCTGAAGTGTCAACAGTTTTTTCAGAGAAATCTTGTTTGAATCTAAGCCCACCATCAAGACAATGAGCACTGAATTCTGAAGATTCTATCAAATTTTTATGCGTTTTAACAGCCTGCCCTATTGCAACAGCTAGGTTTGCTGTAAGTTACTGTAGTTTTTGGAAATATTTTTTATATCGCAAATATCTTCAGACTTATAATCGAGAATACATGATTTCTGGATTGCTGATCGAGAATTAACTTTGAATTCACCACTGATGATGTATTAAAGACACAGGTTCTGCAAGATTCCAATAACCGTTAACTAGAGGCTTCATAAATTGGTCACCATTTTGTTTATGAGAATCATGTGACAAATATTGTTGTAATTTTAGGATTGATTATCAGATCACCTGAAGTTATTGATAATCGACTAATTATTGATTAAGGGAGGGATATACATCTCCATTTTTATAACGATAATTGATAATATTATACATAAACAAAGAAGAATTAAAAGTGTACTTCAAACTTTCTTGACCGGGAAAGTAACGGAAAATAGACTCCAGCATTTTGATTAGATATGTCCCATACACACTGGAAAATGATAGGATTAAGCGTTTAAGCGACAGTATTGACAAGTGTTGTTCATCTAGATGCTTGATCAATTCACAGTGTTCATTGACAGGATCTAAATTAAAAAAAAACCTTTTTTCTGTCTAAGACAGGAAAATGTGGATGTCCTTTTTCATTTTACTGATGATCGGTCATGAAAGATTGTAGTTGATTAATCAGATAATTGGCGTAACCAAGCAATACTCAGGACAAAGTCAGGTAATTCAAACATCACTAATGACTCTACCTGAAAATATCTGAATTGAAATGTAACATGTATCTAGCTGATCTAATGATGTGGAATCTGTTGTGGAATCAACATAGACGCCATGCAGATTTTTTTTGTACAAAAAAATTATGATGGATTTGAATTTGCAGCTGACTCTTCTCTTGTATTAACATGAAAATAAAATCCTGTCAAGATCCACAGCGTTACCATGGGGACAGCAGACCTACTTTAGTCTCTCAATGTCTCCATAGTAAGATCATGATCCACAGCGTTACCATGGGGACAGCAGACCTACTTTAGTCTCTCAATGTCTCCATAGTAAGATCAAGATCCACAGCGTTACCATGGGGACAGCAGACCTACTTTAGTCTCTCAATGTCTCCATAGTAAGATCATGATCCACAGCGTTACCATGGGGACAGCAGACCTACTTTAGTCTCTCAATGTCTCCATAGTAAGATCATGATCCACAGCGTTACCATGGGGACAGCAGGTATATTTTAGTCTCTCAATGTCTCCATAGTAAGATCAAGATCCACAGCGTTACTATGGGGACAGCAGACCTATTTTAGTCTCTCAATGTCTCCATAGTAAGATCAAGATCCACAGCGTTACTATGGGGACAGCAGACCTATTTTAGTCTCTCAATGTCTCCATAGTAAGATCAAGATCCACAGCGTTACTATGGGGACAGCAGACCTATTTTAGTCTCTCAATGTCTCCATAGTAAGATCATGATCCACAGCGTTACCATGGGGACAGCAGACCTATTTTAGTCTCTCAATGTCTCCAGAGTAAGATCAAGATCCACAGTGTTACCATGGGGACAGCAATTCTATTTTAGTCTCTCAAAGAGCAGACAGAAATGATCGAGTTGTTACCATGGTGACAGCAGTTCTTTTTTAGTCTCTCAATTTTCCTGTAGTAGAAGGCATGGATGAAAAGTACTGATTCTGCCGAGGACCCCATTTTATTTGTCTCTTATGATCATGAATTGTACAGTAGACTGTGTTCTCGTCCTTAGTAGAAAAATATCACTAAAACCACCCCCGACGTACAGGAGGTGCCCCATAATTAGTTCTGTTTTACAACACACAGTGAAATACAAAAAAAAACCAACAAGAAAATGCCAACATATCAACATAATCATAATTCAAACTCAAATTCAATAAGACTGGGGAAATATGAACAAAAGCAAGATTTACAAGGAGACTCATAAAAAAGTGCAAGAAGAATGAGACCATGTGTTCCAGAAGAGGAAGTGTTTTCTGCTTCGTTGAGCACCTTCGCTGAAAGTTTTTCCAATTTTATTATATACATATGTAATGATATTAGCATATATATAAATATATAAGGATGGAAAGCATGAGAGTTCAGCGGAAGTACTTTCATTTCTAAATCTTCAGATGTTTAACAACAGTCACATAATCTGGATGAATTCAGTTCTCATGTTGGACGGTTAAGTTCAGATTTAAATGATTTAATAAAGTACTTATTTATTTATATTTATTTACTTATTTATTTATATTTATTTATATTTATTTACTTATTTATTTATATTTATTTATATTTATTTACTTATTTATGTATAAGAAATGAAAAACATTGACAAGTGCTAAAAAGTAATCTCGGGTCATTAACATCAACATATGCATTTTACTACATTCCTGAAATTTATCAGCACATAGAATTTGTAATTGTTATGTCAAAGTTGACAGTTAGTGTAAGAAGTTTTACATCTGACTAGGTAGAAAAAAAGTTAAAAGCTTTCACATGACAGTTTAAAACGGTGTCACATGGTCAATTTTGGTCATATGGTTGATCATAGGATACCAACCTACATCCCTTAAAGTAAAATTGACATAGCCCACCTTGTAGGACTGAGTTGAATGAAAACAAGAATTGTAGAGATAGCACAATGAATGAATGAATGAAATTCTAGACTAATTAAACATTATTTTTTTGATGAAAAAATCACTTAGCTAAATTCAATTTATTCAATTTATTTACCAAATTTGTTTAAACTTATGTGTATCTATTATTTGCAAAAATTGTACTCAATGATGTTTATATAATAGAAATTCTACTCAGATATAAATAAAATTTAAAAAATAAATAAAACATGCAGTTGCATAATTTAAAATTATGACAGGATTCTTGTATTAAAAGCAATCCATTTTTAGTATCCTAAACAAATATTAAGTTACTAGACACAAGTAAGAAAATAATTCTATTTATAGATATCTTTATAAATGTCAACAGCAATGTTTGTAGGATAAGGTGAACCCCAGATCACAATTTCCAAAATGTTTATGAGACCTATGATAAAATATATATTGGGTTCGAATAGAAAAAAAAATGAGTGAAATTTCTGAATCTTAAAAATCATTGATATGAGAGAAAAAAGATGTTCTTGCAGAGTGTTGTTGTTTTGATTAATCAGTTTAATTAATTAAATCAACAATCGTTTATTTTATAGAGTAACTTTTAATGTTGCTTTTCCATGACAATTATGGTTTAATATCATACAGCTGTGGAAATTTCAAGATTCCTTTTATTAGCTGGAAAGTGGATTGAAAATATAACACACTGAAGTCCTAAATCTGAACAAAGCTTGATACTGAAAATAAATAGCCATTATAGTGTAGTCATATTAATAATATCTTTGTTTGGTAGATATATATATATATATCTTGTTCTTTATAATCATTTATTAATTGAATATTGATTTGTTATTGATAATTGGTAATTAATTGTTTGAGAAATTGTAATACAATGTTGTTGATGTTTACTTGTTGATTACAGTCTCTTTAGTCAATGATGCATGCCGTTAGTTATCAATGAAAAAAAAAACATGAAAATGCAATTAGTTGGAGGAAATAAAAAAATTTAAAAGCCAACAAAACTTTTATACAAGTTATTTCAGAAAAATAGAAAACTTAACTTGTATTTTGAGTAAAATTAAATTTTACCACACTTCGAGAAGCTGTCGGATTTCTTGAGTGACCTCATCTGTTACTGTTGTGACACCCTAGGTCTGTAGTCCATGCTGGTAGCTGTTTGAGATGAGAGTGTTTTGTTTCAAGCCCTCATTTTAAATGTCATGTGATCAGAGTATATCTGTGATGTATCCATATTAATATTTCAATGTCCTCCAAGGTTGTCTGTAACTTCTACTGGACTAGTCCATTTTACGTGGTGAGGGAGATTCACAAAAATGTTACAAAAATTCATATGATTTGTTTGAATAAATTTGAATAAATTAGGCAATAACAGTACAAAATGTGGAATTATCTGAATTTTTAAAAAATCCTGTTAAATTCTCAAAATTTTCAAATGTGGTAAATTCTTGGATTTGTGTGTTTAGAATAATTTTGCAATGTGTGAAATACAAGAAAATGTGGACAGGGTGTGGAATGTTTGTTGTATTCGTCACGGGATAAATATACCGTAATAGCATTTATAATATACAATACAGGGAAAGTTCATGATAATTACGTGTAACGACCCACATAATTTGGGAAATAACAATACCAGCATTTAATTCTCTGCATGGAAAATTATGATAACCTTTGAATTTGTGTATAAACCCAGCCTCTGCACAATTAATATCAAATATGGAGATCACATTAATGAGATTTAACGGAAATATGGCTTATATTGTGATCCGTAATGTCTAAATACAAAGTGAACAGACTTGGAGATATATATCAACGATTTCTATTTCAATCTTTTTTGAAAAAACAGGATATAGATGTTTTGTATACTAAGGTAAGTAAAAATTTATGGATTGATCTTTTAATACTAATGTTGACAGGTGTATTGTTGATATAGTCAGAAATTGCTGATGTCGGTTCGATAAAGACAAGCCTTAATTTAACATCAGTAATGGCAGACACAACATTCAACTGAGGCTTTTCAGATATATTTTGATTCCTTATCCGAGAAAAACTTTCCTGCCCGTGCCGGTGTATGGACTAATTTGGTCCCTGAATTTGAACATTTTATGATTTCAAGAGTTGATTTTATTTGGTTCATGTTTTTTATTTGCTATCATCAGATAATGGGTATTTCCAAGCATTCTGATCAGTGCTATGTCCTTTATGAAGAAAGTGGTGACCAAGCATTAGTGTTAGTTTTCAAATGTTTACGTTTTCGTATAAGTGTTTAAAGACATCAGTATATTGATGTATAATTGTACGTCCTAGGCTACTGATATCTGATATCATGCCAAACTTCAGAATTAAAAAAAAATTGTTTTATGACAAATATTTGACAGACAAGCAGGCTGTTCTGCAACAGGTCTTGCTTGTTTGATCAAATATTTAAGAAAGCCACCAGTTACCATTTTGGATTTTGGTTAAGGAAGGTTTTTATCGCTAAATATTTATTTCTCAAAAAATACTTCAGAGATCTTAAAGACTGTGAACACATTCAGTAATGGTTCATCAGTTCTACAGACCATATAAAAGTACTTCATGTATGAACAGAATTTCAAGATGGCAGCCAAGGTTTTTTATTTTGATTAATCATTTGATATTGTGGTCGAATTCGTTGAAATTTGATGTGTTACTTTATAACTGTCAATTGAATGTTTTGATTTGAATGTTAAAGGGTGCCCGGGTATGGATCCCCGACTCCGAGATTGTCTGGCGGGCTGCAGAACTGTTGGAAAATTATACTGGGCAGAAGTCCATCAAGATCCAGTATGAGGATGGAGAGGTAGGTGCCTGAATATTTGACATTTATGTTATGATAAATAAACATTACCATGTAAGGACTCAGTAATTGACCAATAACCATATAAGGACATGTTGTATGTTGTGTATCTTCACATTGATAAAAATTATGCAAGGAAATCATTGTTTAGATAAAGAATACAACGGCTGCTTATCATAATTACATCTAAAATTTGGAAACAAATATTTCAGTCAGTAGATGTTGTCCTGTAGTTCAGATTAGATGTAGCCAGGATATCATAAATTTATTTTATTTTCAACATAGAGTTGGTTTGTAATGTTTTCAAACAAAAAATCTGTTTAAAATATCAAACAATGTAAAAATAACATTTCGGTTGACTTGATAAGTAAATTAACGGTACGTCAACCATGATCAGTTGCAGAGGTAATACATGTCTATGATTGGCTAAAATTACTCTCATGGTTGAAATTGATTGAAAATGTACATCTTGTATATTATCAAATCATCGTGTTTGTTTTGTCGATGACTTAAGCCATCAAAACACGTTTAACTTACACTATGTCAGAATATTTGTTGAAAAAAAATTATTGTCGTTTTCCTCTGTTTGCTTCAATCTGCATTCTGGTTGGCATTTCCAGGGTACAGGTATATTTAAAGTAAGTGTTTCCATGATTAGAAATCCCTTCTTTCTGTTGTTATTAGTGTATATTGTATATACTGTAGTATCTTTTTATCTCAGGAAGAGGATGGGGTGGGTGGGGGGGGGGGGGGGGTGGGGCGGGGGAGAATGGGGGGAGGTGGCTGGGGATGGGGGTAGGGGGGGGGAGATGAGACATCAAAGATTTCCATTGCATGTCTGAAATGCATGTAAATTTCATATATGTCTTAAACACACTGCTGTATCATTAATCTGAAAACTTTTCTTTCATTTTCTTTCATTTTATCCTGAATTTTTAAAATTGAAAGCATGACAGTGTTACAGTGTAGATATGCATGCCCCATAATTTATATTCAGAATTGTATTTTTTTTATCTATAGTAGGCTTATTCCTTACTACTATCACGATATAACCTTTCAGCAGACTAGCAAATAGCCAGAATTTATTTATGTATTTATTCAATGGGATTTACAGTAACTATTATGGTCTTTTGGCCTTTCAGCAGGAGATATGAAATTGAGTAGAAGAGATATAGTATGAAGTGATGGGAGAGAGTAGGATACAGAAATGTGGTTGTCAACGATGAAGGACTGTACTTATAAGGCAATATTTAAGGCCATATTTGATAATCAGGACATTCGTATATATATCGCAGTAGCATGAAATTACAAACCATCATGCTATGTAAGTGATTGACCTGTAATAAGCCCACCCCTGGTTTTGAGAAATTGGGTATAATATCACCGTAGGCTTATAGCAGGATAAATATGATACAGGTTTAAAGACATTTGCAGAAAATTGCATCTAAGCAAATGACTTGGTTTGAATTTGTTTTGTCGGTAGATTTGATCTGAGGTAAACTGTATGGTATAAACATCAGATTTTCAAGGAGATGTATTAGTGTAAGTTTTAAGTCTTAGAGAGACCAGTACAGTTATTGATTAAGACTCATTTACATGTAGTATCTTAAATTAAACTTCAGAGACTCGGGTCACAAACACAGATTTGTACAGTTGTGTGTTCAGAAGATAGGCAGCACGGGCCAGTCTAGGTCAATCTTTTGTTAGCCCTGGTCAGCCCTGGTCAGTCCAGGTCAGCCCTACATGTCATACATTTTCTTGTCTTAAAAGCAGTGTTAAGTTTGGATGTCCAGACTCAGAAGGAAAGCTTAGTGTGTTTGAAGAATTCTGTTTGCGTGTTGTTTTCATGGGCAAACTATGACTGACATCAAGAGGCAATATATGTAGATGAAATTTTGGATTTCGGACATGTACGTTTTTTTATTGTCTTTTGTTGTCTTTAAGTGATGAGGACAGGGTACAGTTGTCAGTTGTAATATCTAAGAACCTACAGTATTTCTAAAATGGTTGTATTTCTTTTTAATTCAAAGGTCAGAATGATATTTGATCAGTTCTTTAAGTTTTTTTTGATTTTGATGATTTTTTGCCAGGCAGATCGACATTTTTCACTTGGCTATTTTTAGTGACATTCCTTGGAATACCTCTTAGAAATCCATTGATCTACCATAAAAGTGCTGTAGAGATAAAGTTCTGTAATTGATTTCATATGCTGTTTGGTTTAGTCTTATTCTCATCAAAGCTTTATCCTGTCAACAGTTCTCGTATTGACCCATACAAACATTGATCAGACTCAGACTAAAGAATGTTATTAATGTTGATCAGATTCTTGAAGTAAAATATCTGACCTTATCTAGTGTGAATGTGACCCCCCCCCCCCCTCCTCCCTCTGCCCCTCCTCCCCTTCTCCCACCCCCTCCTTAAAAAAAGAAAGATCTTCATTCGGTAATGTCATTAGAAGAAAACCAGAGTTTTCTGTTTTACTTTTCAAATATGATTTTAATCTCTTAACGAAAAAGCATATTATTTAAGGTAAGGAGGGAACTCATTTCTTATTGTGGTATGAATACAGAGGGAAACTGCGGAACACTGATATACATTATACAGGGAATGTTTTAATAGTCTGGTCCAGGAAACATAGGCTCATGTATGTATATAATTAGAGTGACACTCACAAGGAAGTGTGGGCTTATATAGAGATTACAGTATGACAGTTACACCCTACTTCTGATAACCTGTTATCTCCCTGGTCGGATCACTGTCCATGTTTTATACACCTGGAGAAGTGGTGAGGTATTGTTAGGGATGTTAATTACAATGTACAAGGGTCTGTTTTACAGGCCTAGATGTTAGAAAGTATATAGAGTATACAGTAGATAAACCTACATTAAATGTAAGGGTCAATAAACACATGATTTGTGAGTCAAAGAGATGAGCTTATTACAAACATTTATAGCAGAACATCAATGAGGTGGGCTTATGAAAGGGTTTTTATTGTACGATATTTATGAGATGGGCTTAGTATAAGGTATTTTTTGTATTAAATTAATGAAGTGGGTTTATTAAAGGATATTTATTGTACCATATTTATGAGATGGGCTTATTATAGGATATTTATTGTATTAAATTGATGAAGTGGGTTTATTAAAGGATATTTATCGTATTACATTGATGAGAGGGGCTTATTATAGGATATTTATCGTATTACATTGATGAGAGGGGCTTATAGGATATTTATTGTATTATATTGATGAGGTGGGCTTATTATAGGATATTTATTGTATTATATTGATGAGGTGGGCTTATTATAGGATATTTATTGTATTATATTGATGAGGTGGGCTTATTATAAGATATTTATTGTATTATAGGTGGGCTTATTATAGTGATATTGATGAGGTGGGCTTATTATAGGATATTTATTGTATTATATTGATGAGGTGGGCTTATTAATGGGTATTTATTGTATTATATTGATGAGGTGGACTTATTAATGGATATTTATTGTATTATATTGATGAGGTGGGCTTATTATAGGATATTTATCGTATTATATTGATGAGGTGGGCTTATTATAGGGTATTTATTGTATTATATTGATGAGGTGGGCTTATTATAGGATATTTATTGTATTATATTGATGAGGTGGGCTTATTATAGTGTATTTATTGTATCATATTGATGAGGTGGGCTTATTATAGGATATTTATTGTATTACATTGATGAGAGGGGCTTATAGGATATTTATTGTATTATATTGATGAGGTGGGCTTATAGGATATTTATTGTATTATATTGATGAGGTGGGCTTATTATAGTGTATTTATTGTATCATATTGATGAGGTGGGCTTATTATAGGATATTTATCGTATTACATTGATGAGAGGGGCTTATAGGATATTTATTGTATTATATTGATGAGGTGGGCTTATAGGATATTTATTGTATTATATTGATGAGGTGGGCTTATTATAGGATATTTATTGTATTATATTGATGAGGTGGGCTTATTATAGGATATTTATTGTATTATATTGATGAGGTGGGCTTATTATAGTGTATTTATTGTATTATATTGATGAGGTGGGCTTATTATAGTATTTTTATTGTATTATATTGATGAGGTGGGCTTATTATAGGGTATTTATTGTATTATATTGATGAGGTGGGCTTATTATAGGATATTTATTGTATTATATTGATGAGGTGGGCTTATTATAGGATATTTATTGAATTATATTGATGAGGTGGGCTTATTAATGGGTATTTATTGTAATATTGATGAAGTGGGCTTATTATAGGATATTTATTGTATTATATTGATGAGGTGGGCTTATTATAGGATATTTATTGAATTATATTGATGAGTGGGCTTATTAATGGGTATTTATTGTAATATTGATGAAGTGGGCTTATTATAGGATATTTATTGTATTATATTGATGAGAGGGGCTTATTAATGGGTATTTATTGTATTATATTGATGAGGTGGGCTTATTATAGGATATTTATTGTATTATATTGATGAGGTGGGCTTATTATAGGATATTTATTGTATTATATTGATGAGGTGGGCTTATTATAGGGTATTTATTGTATTATATTGATGAGGTGGGCTTATTAATGGGTATTTATTGTATTATATTGATGAGGTGGGCTTATTATAGGGTATTTATTGTATTATATTATTGGGCTTATTAATGGGTATTTATTGTATTATATTGATGAAGTGGGCTTATTATAGGATATTTATTTTATTATATCAAGATGGCCTTATTTATTTATTTATTGTATTTTATCAAAGATTTGAGGGTATTGTATCAAAGATTTGAGGGTATCTATTATGTAATGTCGATGAGGTGGGCTTATTTGAGGGTATTTACTGTATCATATCACTGAGGAGGTTTTTTACCTGATCCTAATATTTGTGAATAAACATGGTTAAAATAATACAATTTTTTTTACATACTGTGTCTGTCAGTCTCCTTCATATTTGTCTGTCTTC